TTTAAAAAAAAAAAAAAAAAAAAAAAAAAAAACAATATATATGCTAGTAATATTGATTTGATGAACACAACTCAATGTTGAAACCCAAAAATATGTATAATCAATTTTGATTCAATAAATTAAAATTTAAAAAAAATTTTAAAGAAATTATAATAAAATGCTTATTAATTTCATGTATAAATCACAAGCTAACTAATCACATACATGGCACTTACTTGTCCAACCACTTCCGAATCTGAGCTAAAACCAGGGCTCGATGATGAACAACTTCTAAGTTTCCCCTTGGCATCTTAAAATAAATAAATCAAAACAAGAACATTTTTAATTAAGTTCAAAATTTTTAATGGCCAGGATACACGATTTTATCTAACTACAGAGAACTACCACAGCACTGTATAATGAGCACACATTTAGTAGAATCTAGCTGTGCTCAATATTTACCTTGACTTTCAAGAGGAACTTCCCTCTGAGCCTCCCTGATGACAGCCTATATCAACATTCCTTTACATAATGCTAAAAGACAACCTTGCAAAGAAAGGTTTGTAATAAGTGATTACAAATGATGAGAGGCCCGAAAATACAATCCGCAAGAATTTTGTTTGATATTGACTGAATAACAATCATAAAGACAGCCTGAAAACTCAGCTTACCTGTAATATAAGCTTTGTGTCCTGGGGCACAACAGTGACAATCCGTGAACCCCTCTCCACCTTCCGCAGAGTTTCTCCATAAGACATATGACTGCTGCTCAGACCTGCCTGTAATGCTAAAGACACCATTGGCTAAGCCCTAAGAATTATCATGACAAGCCACTCTCCATTAATTGCAGTTGAAACTGCATATATTAACTGAAAGAGAAGAGAGTGATTAACAACCAGGTTCCTTTGCTTTCCTACTCAACCTCAAGACCATCAGCCTTTCTGATAAACAATCTCGTTCCTGGAATTTGCCCTCTCTCTTAGAGAGGCCTTGTGCATACTCACATACACAATTTCTCAAACGATCTGAAAAACACAGGAAAGATTGGGGTAGCTTCTCTACTTCTCAGCATCATTAGTGAACTATAACCATATCGGTGAAAGAAAGATTCCCTATTTCCAAGTTAAAAGCAAAGAAAATACGGTAAGTGGGCTTTTTAGAATAAGGAAAACACACACATACACACACACACAGAGATGGAGCAGGGAATGTAAGAAAAAAAATGGAGCCAACATCCTACAAAGCACGAGATGGAGTCCAGATGTACAATGGAGGGTGGTCACAGTAAGAAAAGGAAGGTTGCACTGAAGTTTGAGCATATCACCAGTTTGGTATCTATGCAGTAACTCAAAATCAAGTATTGCGTCTGTTATATAATGAAACTTCCCCAAATTTTCTGTTTAACTTTAGAATGTGTTGCTTAAGGAAGAACCTCCTTCTTTGGAAGTCTTTGCTAACTGATGCAAAATGATTTAACTGAGATATTATGTTGAGATTAGGGGCTAAAGAAATGAACTCTAAAGGTTTTCTCCAGCCTAGCACTCCATGATAAAAAGTCAAAGTAGGCAAAGAATTTAAAAGTCATTAAGACTCCAAAAGACACTGGAAAAGGGACTATTGCTATTTATACACTGAAAACTTACTTTTAAATGAAGTATCCATCAGGCAAAAACAGTGGCAGGTATGGGAATGAGTCGTCAATAATAAAAACTCATCATATACTGCAAATGACGTGATATTTGATGCAACCTGCAACAAGACGAGAGAGGCAAGGGGGAAAGTTAGCTATATTACTTGGAGCCAACAAAACGCAAAGGATCCAACACCAAACCAAGCCTTGATACCTCAATGTCATTGATGAAAAAGCGACACCTGTCAGTCAAACCAAGGACACATTCCTGCAAAGAAATAAAGTTGAAATTATAAGTAAGTTTATTCTAAACTAATTAAACCTAACTTTTCCATTACATAGTTCTATTGCCCTATGATTTCACATCAAAGTCCTCAAAATCTGGACTAAATATAGATACCTAAGATATGATTGGTCCAGGGCAAAATGGAATATGATGCCATCCAATCCATCAGCAGCCCTATCATTCCTATCTCCTAGTATACCTCAAATACATCTCCCTTCCCCTCACTGAGTTCACTTCAACAGTCTCTGCATTGATCCCCTGTTCCATTCTTGTCTCTCTCCAACCTAGTCTTCTCTGGGCAGCGAGAATCACTTTTCAAACAAAGAAGCAAAACACATTACTCTTTGATTAAAAATCATCAATAACTTTCTCATCTTTGTTAAATAAAAAAATCAAAACTCTCCCCTATGGCCTGTCACTAAGTTCCAGCCACACTGCTTCCATTCAGTCCACTGAATAAACAACCTCTTTCCAAGCTCAAGGTGTTCACAGTTCCTTCTCCCTGGAACACTCTTCCTTTCTGGTAAGAGAATCTTCTTCACATCGCAGCACATACACCACTGCCTTAGAGAGGCTTTCCTGGATTACCAAAAAAATAAGACTCCCATCCTCATAGCCACTTCTACTTACCCCTAAACACCTCACTATTCTCTACCATTACACTATTTCCATTTCCTTCATTCTGTCAACAGAGGGAATAATTTCATCTATATTGATAAATAACAAGTTCCAGAAGAGAAAGGATAAGTCAGTTGTTTTGTTTTGTAACCACTGTACCCTACCACCCACCACAATTATAGGCACTCTAGTATCTGTTGAATGAATACTCTTCGTGAGATCACATTTCTGTTTTCCTCAAAAGATATTTAATAAAATTGACTTTGAATATTTTGTGTAACTAGAGATAAAAGTTTGCCAAATACATTATCTCATTTAGTGTTCCCCCAAGCATTTTATAGATGAAGGTGTATCTCTAGAAAGTGAGATAACTTCCTATATTGTCTTAGGATTTAGTAGAGACACAGGTGTACTTCCAAAGCCCATGCTCTTTCCACCTAATGCTGTCAGTCCCTGGGTAACTACTTCAAGTGGTAAATTTTCCTGCCTCTGTTCACTTACCTCTCCTCCAATCACGGCCAATTCAGTCTGTGTGCATGGATAAGGAAACCGAACAGGAAATCCACCACGGTTCTTCCATGGTTCAACAGCCAGAGAAGGTGACTCTATAAGATTGGCAGATCTGGTTTACAAATAGCTGATCTGCTCTTTATAAAAAACTGTCAACACCAATATTTGCTAAAACACTAATCAAGTAATTTGGATCACTTTCCAAATGTATTTTGGAAATTCATTAGGGTACTCCAGTTCACTTCATGAGAAAAGAGAAGTAGAATATACCTACCAATTCTACTCTATACCTCGGGGTTTTCCGGGGTAGTTAAAAGACCTAACAATGATTGCATTGACAAGATGGTTACACGTACATGTTCTCAGAATTAAACATCCATATAAGACATAAACTTGCTTTTGTACACTTTGATACTTACCCCGAAGATACTTAAGTATCTGGCCGTCAGCCAGCTGCAATGCCACTGATTTGGTCTTGGAATTGCAACATAGACTGATTATGACCCCATCTACCATCATAGAGGAGCTGACAAAAGCAAAAAAAGGAGGGGGGGAGTGAACAGACCATTTTTATCAAAAAGTAGTGACATTTCACTGATCTTGCAAAACAGAAAAATAAGGAGTTCCTTTTTGGTGCTGCATTGCCTATTTCAGTACAATGTACACATAATATACATATACATACATTCAAGTATATACACGCAGTACTCTGTATACATATGAGGGCACTTCAAAGAGTTCAAGGAAAAATAAAATTGAAAGATGCTACAAATCTTCCCATGAATTTCTGAAGTACCCACGTGCGTGTGTGTGTATACACAAACCTAAATACATACACACAAACAAACATACCCTTCCAAGCCCAAGTCCAGATGAAGCAGTTAGCTATTACATGACACTGTGTTCCACAAAGCCAATAAGCTAGTTGCCTACATTGCGAAGTCCTCACTCCTATTCCGGCAGCAACTTACTGCAACTTATTACAATTTATTGCCTTCATGAGACGTGCATGGTACCAATATAATTTCTGTCTTCTTAAAATATAAACTGCATTAAATAAAGCAGTGGGTCTGTAGAAAAATGAGCACACTCAATATCTCTATTGCTATTGTAGTGGATTGAATTATGTCCCCAAACTACCTGAAGCTTGAATTGTGTCCCCCAAGTTTTATGTATTAGAAATTTAGGGGGCCGGCCCGGTGGCGCACTGCTACAGTGCGCCGCTTGGGAGTGTGGCGACGCTCCCGCCGAGGGTTCGGATCCCACATACAGACCGGCCGCTCACTGGCTGAGCGAGGTGCGGGTGCAACACCGAGGGTTGTGATCCCGTTGCCGGTCCTGGTCCGGTACGGGCGCGACACTGAGGGTTGCAATCCGTTGCCGGTCATGAATAAAGACAAAAAGGAAAAAAAAATAAAATTAAAAAATAAAAAATAAAAAAAAGAAATTTAGCCCCCACAGTGTCTGTTAAGAGGGTGGGAAATCATATTACGGTAATTGAAAGGTGGAGCCTTGAAGAGGTGATTGGGTTGTAGAGCTGTGCAGTAGTGTATGGATTAAAAATGGTGGTCAGGGATGTGGTTATGAGGGCTTTAAAAGAGGAGAGTCTGTCTTCCTCTGTCTCTGCTCTCTCTGCTTCCACCATCTTGCAATATGAGACCCCTGGGTCACTGTCACCACCACCAGATGAACTTTAGAATTCCCAGCCTCAGAAACTGTAAGTAAATAAATTTCATTTTCTTTATAAATCACCCAGTTTCAAGTATTTTGTTGTAAGCAGAAGAAACAGACTAATACAGCTATCATAAACATTCATGGGAAACTGTGGGTCTTCACTGATAAGAAGAGGCATATCTGTTATTTCCATTACATTTTTTCCTGAGTCAGTGAACAGAAAGAAGTAGAAATTCTTAAAGGAAGAGGAAGAGGTAGTGATAAAAGCAAATGGTGCCAACGCTAACATTTAACTCAAAGAGTTTTTAACCAATCTACAAATAACCTAAAAATTATAACAATGGTTAATTTCTCTATGAATTTTGTTAGGATAAATCATCCATCCAGGGGTTAAAAGAACAGACTCTGGAGCAAGACAGGCTGGGATTAGATCCTGGCTCCACCAGGCAATCTTGGGCAAGTTACTTAACAATTCTGTGCCTTAGTTGTCTCATCTGCAAAATAATGCAAATAGCATATACTTTAAAGAGGTATTGAGAGAAATCTGTTAGCCAATTATGTTATGACCAATGTCAGTCTAAAATGGCTGCAGGTGGACAGGAAGAACACCCAAAATGGCTGCAGAAAGTTTCACATTTTCCAAGAACCACAAAAGACACCCCCCCACCCCACCGCCACATCACCTTCTCGCGTGCGTGATTTTCCCCACCTATAGGAAAGTTCCAGCTCAGCTTAAACTCTTGCTTGGTCCTCTTGTCCAATGACAATGAGACAGCTCAACCTATTAGGATATATAAGGCACTCCCTAGTTCTGCATGCGGCTGCTCCCGCTTTGAGAGGGCAGCCCACCCGCTTCCCTCTGAAGCCCTCCAATATACATTCTGGCTGAGTATCTGTCTCTCGGTGTAATTCTTTGCGACTCCGGGCCATCCCTTTCAAAATCAATGAGTTAATACAGGGAAAGCACTTAGAAGAGTACCTTTTACAAAGCACGAGCTACAGTAAAGGTAAGCTATTAATAGCTATAACTGATTGAGGGACTTTATATTACTCAGATATTAATGTTTTGTATGAACAAAATAGTCTTTCTTGAGAAACAAAAGTCAAAGCAACAGAAATATATTATAAATGACTTCTCATTTCCTTTACAGCAAATGAGAAGACTGTATCTAGCTCTTCCTTCTACAAGCTAACGATAAAGAATTTCAGATTTGGAGAAGTAGAAACTTGGGCATAATTTAGCCATTTCTAATGTACATTGCTCTGCTTTTCAAAAAGATCCTGGTTAACTTTGCATATATCTAAAGCATATTCAACATCTAGACATATTCACAAAAAGCTTATTCAAAATATCATGAAGCATTTTGAGTCTAAGAGTAGGAGCAAATGACTGTATTAAAATATGTTTTATACATAAAATAAGGAAAGGTTCCTAATTTTGCAAAAATGGTTCTCAGAATATAAATGTAACCAACTAGGGTTTTAATTACAAATAAATCTGGGGATTAACATCAGCATATGTCTAAGTTACCAAGTCTTGACGTTAGAAATCTGAGGATTTCTGGGAGCTAGCCAGAAAATGCTATCTACTGCACATCAGCGCTTGCATTGCAGAGACGAACATTCATTAACTGAAATCTGTTTCATGATAAAGATGCAGTCAGGAATCAAAATAAAACTCAGGTCCAGGGAACAGTGAAATTTCAGCAAAGAAAAATAGAGGAGACTTTCTAGGGGCAAATGTAGTCAAGTGTCAAACAGGATGTATAGAAGAGGCCAGAAGAAGCATTTTGAAGTCACCACATCAAAACGAAGCGCATATATATATATATATATATACATACACACACATACACACACACACAGGTTGTGTATCCTTTATCTGAAATGCTTGAAATCAGAAGTTTTTCAGATTTTGGAATATTCTCAGATACTTAATCAGTTCAGTATCCCTAATCCAAAAATCCCAAATCCAAAATGTTCCTTTGAGCATCATGTCATAGGTCAAAAATTTCAGACTTTGGGGCCAGCCCGGTGGCACACTTGGTAGAGTGCGGCGCTTGGGAGTGTGGCGGCGCTCCCGCCGAGGGTTCGGATCCCGTATAGAGACCAGTACGCTCACTGGTTGAGCGCGGTGCGGGCGCGACACCGAGGGTTGCAATCCCGTTACCGGTCACGAAAAAAGACAAAAAGGGGGAAAAAAAAAAATTTCAGACTTTGGAGCATTTTGGATTTTCAGATTAGGGATGTTCAACCTGTATATATAAAATTTCTTTCCACTGCATTAGTCCATGAGAATTAACCCCCCTAATTACCCTTGATAGTTATTAAAATCAATGGTAAGATCTAACAATTACTCTGTAGGAATGTGGGTACATGCTGGATTAAAATATTTAACACATCCTCAAAATGTTTTGCTCATCTATTGTTGTTTGTCCTACTTTTCACTTCTTGATATGTTCTTGGTCTATTATTTTGACATGACTCAAAACTAGACTTAACCCTCTTGATAAGTGTATCTAACAAGAAAACTACTGCTCCTCAACTTTGCTCACTAGAAGCCAAAAAAAAGTTGTATCCTCATAAAAGACAAGAGCACAACTCCATTTGCTTATTTAACATGTGGAATACAGGGAAGTACTGCAATACCTGACATTGAGCTGTCCGTGTTCCTCATCCATCTCAGAAGGGGCCACAGTCAGATGGTGAATGAGGGACCGTGGGCTGGACTGACTGTGGCTTATGGCCAGGAAGATGTCCTCTTCAATCCAGGTGAGAAGGCCGAGCTTCAGTGAGTTTACTTCTTGATCTTTGCTAGTCTCAAATTGAATTCTGTTTTAAATATTGAAGAATATCCAAGATGTGAATAAAACTTTAAAATCACTGAGATTTTCCTGAATGAAGGAAGAATAAACTACCTTGTATACAGTCAACTCCTAATTATTCTGGAGGGACAAAACCTGAGATAATACAAAATACTAGAATATCCAAAAATAATGCTTGTCTGGCTTAAGAATATGTTTTTATGTTTATTTTAAATTAAGTTTCTTGGGCTAGCTAGTTAGCTCAGCTAGAGTGCAGCCTTATAACACCAAGGTCATGGGTTCAGATTCCCATACCAACAAGCCAAGCCAAATATAAATAATAAATAAGTAATTAAACTAAGTTTCTTAAACCCTGAGATCTTTAGATGTGAAGAGAACACTTCAGAAAACTGACTGCAAAAGAAAAATACCTGCCCCAGCACGTACACTAAAAAACCCCAGAGCCTTTCCATTGCCACCATTTACCAGCATTCAAATCAGACTCCAACAGATACCAGAGCACTTCAAAAAGTTCATAGAAAAATAGAATTGAAAGATAACACAAATCTTTCCATGAACTTTTTAAAGTATCCTTACCTTTGGGTCTCACATCAAAATGACTAATTGGCTTGAGGTGGTTTCCATGCTTCTAATGCCTTAATAGGGGCCATTAATACACCAGCCCAGAGCACTGTTTTTGCCACGTCACTTAGGAACCCATAATGGTTACTTCGTGCCTTTTAGATCAAGAGGCAAATCTTCACCTTCCACTGAAGCTGGTTACTAGCCTGATCTTCCTACTCAACCAGCTCTCCCCGGACTCAGTCTCTCCACTGCATTTAGTCCAGCATGTTCTCTCTATGCAGGATAATCCCCACCTCTGGTTTTCACCAACACCGTCCTCCCCACCAAACCCAATGTTCCCAGTCCTTCTTTGCCGATCACAAACCTATCCCTTCCTCAAAGATCAAGATGAGTATTCATGTCCTTCCTGAAATCTTCTCTGAATGACTTGAAGTTACCCTTCTCTCAATTTTTTAAAAAGGAAATTATATTCTAACCTGCCTCACACTTTTTAATTTGCCTTACACCTCTGTCCTCTAGTGGCTTCAAGTCTGTGAAATGAAAAGATTCACATAAATGTTCTTTAAAAACTACTAAGCATTATATAGGCAACCCCCAAACCATACACAGGTTGAATATTTATATATACTTACTAAATATATCACATATATTTAAGAAACATTTCATTTATTTATTTTCAATTTTTGGCAGCTGACCAGTAACAGGGATTGAACTCTGGACCTTGATGCTATCAACACCATGCTCTAACCAACTGAGCTAACTGGCCCATTTTATTTATCAAATTCTGTTATTTGTTGTACTCAGTTAATTATCTCTGTTAACTTAGAAATAAATGCTCCCAGGAAGCAGAGTAGTTCTCTAAGAACATGGACTTATCAAACAGAACAGAATCAAATCCTGGATTCTCTAATTACTGGGTGCATGACCTTGGGGAAGTTACCTAACCTCTACACTTTGTTTTCTTAGCTATAAGCACTCAATAAGTGGTACTATTAAAAAACATTTTCTCACAGAAATGGCATTAACTTGGCTCCTGGGTAATTCTGCAAATGCCTACAGTATACCCAAGGTATTCATTACACTCAATCGTTGATAATACTGTTTCAGCGGGAAAATGCACTCTGATTTCCAACCAGGGAGCCTCAAAACAGCACCCAAAAGTTCTGGAGTCTGGAATGAGGCAAAGACAGAGGCTGCATTAGGCTGACCATGTTAACAACCTATACATCTGTATTCACATAAGAGAATGCAACTCTGCCTTATCATTTTCATCTCCACCTTTCCCATGTGATTTTTCCCTGGAAAACCAAAGGCTGTTGCAGAGAGTGGGTTCTAATCCAGCTTATGATTCATGCTCCCTTGCCGCCCACCAGAATATATGGCATTCAGATATACAAAGTGACTGGCTTTCTCCAACCAGGCTGAAAAACCAAGGCCTACGTGTTCCACTCAGCAACAGGTACAGAATAACAATAGTTGGCTGAATTTAGGACTGAATGCTGGCTGATTCCATTCACAGAGGTCAAAGATAATTAAGAACCTACTTGTATCTCTTTTCCAGATGAGGTGTTGTAAGGGAAACTTTAAATCCATTTCCACCCACAGCTCCCAGTTTCACTGTGGGGTCTGTACTTGGACTATCACCTAGAAAAAAAAATGCAAATAATATAATTGTAAACTATAAATATTTTTCCTAATACTAAGGGGATGGGGACATGTAATTAACAAGTTCTAGATGGCAAATAAAGCAATCGAGAAAATAATCACTTTTCAACTTCTTTCTTAAATTTCTGCCTACCTTTCAGGCTTAACCAAAACTTACTTTTCCCTTAATACCACATCTTCCCTTAATAGTCACAGTCTTCATTGATAAAGGCCACAGCTCAGCAAGACCATGTGTTGGGGCTACACTCTTACCCCAGTGCTATGTCCTCCACTGACCTACAACCATCTCTCAATAAGCTTGCATCCTCTGAGTCCAAACCACTTGCTTAAAAGACATTCTCTTTTCACTCTTAATCCAGTTTATTCACTATACAGCAGCCAGTAAAATCCTTTAAAAAATTCAGCCAGCACACCCCACTCCTCTGTTCCAAGCCCACTAGTGGCTTATCTCACTCAGAGTAAAAGCCTTCAAGGCCCTAAGACAGCTGTTCTCTGCCAGCTCCATGGTCCTACCCACCACTCTCCCCTCATTCGGTCTGCTACAGCCACACCGGCCTCTTGGCTCACTCCTAAACACAACAGATACCTTTTCAGCTACTCTTTACTCTGCTTGGAATGCTCTTACCCTGGAGGTTTGCATGGCTCCTGCTCTGATTCTCACCAGGTCTTCTTCCCAGAGAGGGCTTCCCTGATTGCCCTAATTACAAAAGCCACCTTCCCCGAGCAGGCCCTTATCCCTGAGCTCTTCCCATACCCCAACTTGCTTCATTTTTCTCTACAGTATTTACCATTTACCAAGGTTATATTTCTTCTTTACTATCTTTGTCCCTCAACCAGAACATAAACTCCACAAAAGCAAGGATTAGAAAAAAGCCTGGCACATGATAAACAATCAATAAACATTGAGGGGAAAAAAAGGAGTGATACTCAGGACACATCCAAAGCCATTTGTGAAAATTTTGGCAACTAATTTGTCTCCACACCACTCAAATGTATACCACTTTCCTCCAAATTGTTCATTTCCAAAGAGCGCTCTTTTCTCTTCAGCTTAGGCACTGAGCCCTAACCAGTACTCTGACTGGTTCCACTCTGAAATCTCAAACTAGAATATTCTGACTTTGACATCAACCTCAATCTTTCCTCTTTTCATTCTTTCTGATCTCAATAAAATGTATTATTCTTCAACATTTTCTTGATTCCCTGGACAAACTGGAAGCTGCTGTCAGCCATTTGTACACCAGCACTCTTCAGCGTCTCACACACCTATCCTCTTACCATTCGCATCCACAGGTGCCCAATGCTGTTTTCACCAACTTCAAGTTCACTTGAGCTGCCCACACCAGGGCCATCATCTGAAACTGCTCCACACTTGAGATGCTAATCTCTAAAAACTATACTCCAAGGACTCCCATAACCTTTTTCCATATTCTGTTAAATCCAAATTCTCCACAATGTGCTCCTTAACTTCTCAGAGGCTTTTAGCTACTGGATTTGTATCATCTTTCTCTTCTTTCCATTTCTACAAACACTCCCCTGGCTCAAGCTCTCCCTATGTCCTGCCTAGCCACTCTTCAACAGCTTCTCCTAACTGGTAGCTCTGCCTCCAGGTGTCCCCCGACCCATGGCTAACTCCACATTCTGATGCCAAGCAATCTTCCAAAAATGGAGCTTTCAACTTGCCCTATCTCATCACAAGAAATTAAAGGTATCAAGTAAAATGAATGTAAGGTAGTACACGGTTTCATTTTGGGGAGATAAAAATATTCTAAAATTGATTATAGTGATAGATGCACAACTCTGTGAATACATATATATATATATATATACACACATATATATATATACATATATACATATATATATACACACATATATAAACCACTGAATTGTACACTTTAAATAGATGAATGACATAAAGCTATCTTTTAAAAAAGTTAACATAGGAAAAGACATCCCATACATTGAAAAGTAATATATAAACTTATTAGTATCATATGGTAAGTGCCACAAAAGCTTACTCTACATCTGATTCTTTTTAATCTCACAAAACCAGCACTAAGATAACCCAAACACAGCAGAGACAAACATTTGCTTACTTTTGGTATGACTGGCTGAGAGAAAATCTTCTCTGAAAAGTAGTTAATTTCTGCTTTTTCTGATTTGCCTTGACAATGAACACATTAGTATTATTTTATAAAAAGCTATTTAAAAAAAGTTTAAGGAAGACTGTAATGGCATTTCACAAGTGAAACCAAAATCAGAGAAACTGGTGATATATCCAAATAGAATTCATGTAAACAGTAGGCTGTTGATTTAACAGAAAAGCTGATATGAAAGTAGGGAATGCCAATATAAATTAATTAATTTTGATTATGCACAGCAGCTATTAGGCTTTTTCTAACTGAGAATTCAAAAGATATTTGATAGCAAGGCTACCACTGCCATACGCCAGTATAATTTATGACATGACCATAGAACTCACAAATAAAAACAACTTTCAGGTTCTCCAGTACATCAGGAAAGTGACAAGGAACTGACAGCAATGGGACTGTGGAAGGACAACTAGATTAGGAGCTAGAACACCTGTGTCGAGGTGCTTGTCCACAAATTCTTGCTCAAGCAAATTGCAAATCCTCTGGCACTGTGTTCCCTCATCTATAAAAGAAGAAAAGTTCCTAGGAGGGACATGAAAGCAACTGAAAATATGTGCAAAGGTAATAAAAATAGTAAAACCTACCATATATGTAATAAGATACTTTGTTATTTTCCGGGGTTGAATGTTATTCTTAAGTAAAGGACTCTTCAAGTTCAGTAAGGCAAAAGGAAGTGCTTTTATAAGCCAGAGTAAGATTTTTAAAAAACAAAAAACAAAAACCAATTAAATAATGATAATGAAATCAATTACGGACTTCAAATTTTTAGAAATACTAGCGCTAAGGCAACACCAAACTATAATTTGCTTTTCTGTAGAAGTAGGAAGGACTTAATTTAGAACATCTTGTTAAGTTTTGTAACATACCACATTTATAAACAGAAATCTGGTTACTGGCATCTAGGACAGCGAGGTCATTACTCTTTTTTGGGTGTGCAGAAAACATGACTTGATTCACAGGGTGCGGGAGCAACAGTCGGTAGGTGCACATGGGAGGTGGAACCACAGTCTGCCGGAAGACTGTCACCAATACCTTGTCTGCACATGAAGAAAAAAAGAGAAGGATGAGACATATGGATATTGAATTAGTAAAAGAAGGCCTATGAACATCACAGCACCTATAAGTTGTTATATATGTTTTCTATGCCATTATAACAACCTATAAGTTGTTATAATGGCATAGAAAACATACAGCAATTCCTAAGAATAATTTTTGATATTTTTTACATGGGTTAAAAAAGGGGGGAGAGTGTCATGGACTCTGCTTATATCTAGCTATTGTCACCTCCAGATCTATTGTAGTCCATCTCCAGACTTGAAAGTTTCAGGTGCCAGGAAGTAAGGCAAAAAGGGCAAACAATCAGAGTTCTAGCTTGAACTGAACGTACTGGAGAGGTACATAATCAGCAACAAAGCAACACAAGTGGAGTGGTGCAAGGGTCAACGTAATCTGCGTCAGGGCAAACAGACAAGGTGAACACACCCAAGCCACACAACTCTACCGTTGTCTTCCTCTCTACCCAGGGTCAAAATTTTCTAAGTCTTCAAAGGCCAGACAAGTAAATGTGTGAAGGCCATGGATATAGTACAACAGGGAATTGGGGTGGAAAGAGGGACTATGGTTCTCAGGAAAGTATACACCCCACCTAAGGGCATTCCCATCCCATCAAAAACAAAACAATAAATAGGTAAAAATAAACCAAACAACCCAAACAAAGATTCCTCATTGTTCTGGTCAAGTCACCACATCTGCAGGCCCCAGGCTTAGGACCCGTTGCAGGCACATGGACACACTTTCCAGCAGCTTACTTCCATCAATAACAGCCACATTTGCCAAGTCACTTGAATTATCTCCTGAGCTCCGGTCAGTTGTCCAGTGCCAGTCATAGCAGAGGTAATGCCAGCCCTGACAGAGAACATGCAGCCGGTATGGGATCACCGGGTCCCACATCAGAGCCACAATCCTGCTCTTCCCACAGGTGTCAAAGGAAAGACTTTGCTTGAGATACCAGTGATAGTTTCCAACAGTCCAGAGCTGAACTGCAAGGGAAAATGAAAGAAAGGCCTTTAGATGGTAGGGGACTAGATTTCATAGCACTTGCTAGAGGGGGACAGGGACAATCTTTTCTTTTTCAAATGACCCTTCCTACTTAGCCTCTTCATTAAAATAATAATATAACAACAATAATTGTTAAAAGGTAGCTTTCCATGGAGATAAAATGTCAAGCATCAATAAGGTCAGAAATACATGTTTATTCTCACCTCTACCTTCAGACTTTATGATCATGATGAAAGGATACTAGGACAAGACAGGATTTTAGTGAGTTTTTTCATGAAGACTTAGGAAGAAGATATCTGGCAATTAGATTATATTAAAACACTCAATTTAAGATCCAGGACTAGTATCACTATGTTGCATTAGGCTTAAGATGCTTATTTCCTTCCAGGTTCTTTGCATGCAATTATGTCCAAGGCTATCTGGTATTAACTATGATTTAGCTGCCAAAGGGAGATTAGCATGCAATTATCCTTTCCAGCATCTACTAAAAGAACAAGACTTAATCATGCCAAAACCAATCTTTATTAAACAGGTGGTACATGTAAATTAAGATCTTAGTTATATTAAGGAATTTATTTTCTTAATTTCCCTGCTCACTAATTCTTAACTTAGTGATCACAACAAATACAACCTAGTTCTCTAACATGCTATTCTAATACTTCCATGCAGCTGGGAGTTATTAAGTGAAACCACATGCTCATGCTCCATGAGCACAGATGTCGGGTCTGTTCTTGAGCAGTATTTTTACCCCGAGCATATCATAGTACCATCCCTTGTCACGCTGGTTAATCAATGATTCTGACTGTGGTTGTATGTTAAAATCACTTGGGAGTTTAAGTTAAATACCGATGTGCAATCCCAATTCCTACACACTGAATCCAACACTGATATGAAGGCTGGATATCACTATTTTTTTCTAAAGGTGCAACCAGGGTTGAGAACTATCGTGTTGAATGAATGAATGAATGAATGAATGAATGAATAGTTTCTAATAACATTTCAGTTAAAATAGGTTCTACTGATTAAAGAGTTTGATAGCCACTTAGGGTATGATGACAAAAAAGAAAAGCAAGTAAAAAGATTTATGGAAAAAATGTTCAGTGCATTGCTGTTGACAATAATGAGAAATTACAAGACTTTAAATGTCTAACAGCATGAGGTTTAATAAACTGGCACAAAAGGATATTATACAGAAATTTTAAATGATGCAGATATACAAACAAACTGGAAATATACTTGTGATACAGTGTTAAAGCAAGTTACAAAACTGCATGCATCATATCTATATTTTTTAACAAAAGAGATCATAGCTATCCTGAGAAATATACAAATAAATCTAGAAGACAAGAAAAATTTAAAAGATTATTACTGAGTGGTAGAACTATGGATTTTTTTTTTCTCATCTTTATTTTCTAACATTTTCAAATATTGTTTAATTTTTAAATATACATTTATCTATTTTAAAAGCTTTAGAAAAGATTCTTACTTAAAGCTAATCTAAATCCTCTTACACTTCCACAGTATTCTTTGGTTAGTGCTTTGATCTTCTGCAGTAATACACAAAATACCATCCAAGAACAGAAAGCACTGATGACTTGCGATGGTTAATTTTATCTATCAACTTGGCCAGGCTATGGTGCCCAGTTGTCTGGTCAAACACTAGTCTAGATGATGCTGCGAAGGTATTTTGTAGATGTGATTAACATTTACAATCAGTAGACTAAGTAAAGCAGATTACCCTCCATAGTGTGGGTAATGAGCTGAAGGCCTAAAAAGTAAAAACTGACATTTCCCACAGAAGGAATTCAGCCTCAAGAACGTAACACAGAAATCCTGCTGGAGTTTCCAGCCTGCCAGCCTGCCCTGCAGATTTCAGACTCAAAACTGCAACATCAGTTACCTAAATTCCCAGGCTGCCAGCTAGCCGACAAATTTCAAACTTGCCATCCCATAACAAGCACATGAGCCAATTCCTTAAATCCATCCACAACTCTCTTGCACTCTCTCTCCCTCTCTCCATCCCTTCCCTGACTCCCTTCCTTGCCCCTCTCTTTCCACATAAATATTCAAGAGTACTTCAGAAAGTTCACGGAAAAATGGAATTAAAAGATAAAACAAATCTTTCCATGAATTTTTTGAAGACCCCTCATATACACATATATCTCCTATTTGTTATGTTTCTCTAGAAAACCCTGACTGACACATGACTGAAATCCATAAATAATTAAAACCCAACCACTCCCCCATTTCCATATACCCATTTCAGCTTCTCCAATTCCACTAAGGGACTAAGCTGAAGGGATGAAGGAAATCTCACACCCTTCTACTTTCAACTACATTTTATGGAGAATAAGGCTGAACTTCCACAGCTGTTTTACCATAGGTTTTCAGAGCAGAATTTTCTTCCCTCTGAAGGTCTTCTAGCCAAACTGCAAGCACAGAGGAATCTGCATTCCAGAGCAAGTCATTTACCTAGTAGGGAAAAAAGACCTATCATTGGCCTTTAGCCATGCATATACTTCAAAATCTACAATAGCTGAATTCCCTGCTCTGACAAAACAAATTAATCCCATTATTTGAGCTGATATCTAGTTGTAAACTACTAACCTACAGAGTCATTAAACAATTCTGTGAAATAGCCATTACATGTAAAGGACTTCTCTTTTTGCAAAATCTCCTTGGAAAAACAATTTGTTTTATTAAAAAAAAAATCAGCTATAAGAAGCCACCATTTGGGGCCGGCCCGGTGGCACAATGCTACAGTGCGCCACTTGGGAGCGCAGTGGCGCTCCCGCCGAGGGTTCGGATCCCACATACAGACCAGCGGCTCACTGGCTGAGCGAGGTGCGGGCGCAACACCGAGGGTTGCAATCCCGTTGCCGGTCCTGGTCCGGTACGGGCGCGACACTGAGGGTTGCGATCCGTTGCCGGTCACGAAAAAAGACAAAAAGGAAAAAAAAAGAAGCCACCATTTTTATTATTATCTACTCTAAAGCTTCTATTTACACACCCATATCAACCTCCTCCATAGCTGTGCAAAGTCCTCTAAATTTGAGGACAAAACAACTAAACAACTCAGGCACCTACCTTAACCTCATCTTTGAGGAAAGGAAGTGTAAATTGTCCATGAAGAAGTCCATTTTTTTCAAAAAACACAACATCCTGCTGGTTGGGTTTATCTTGTGTAGATGCAATCAAACTGCCTGAGGGTCTTAAAGCAAACTCAGAGTGTTAAATCACCCAAAAGTTCATCCAGCTGGCTTAAGAACAAGGTGAAATTTGGACAAGTTTTTTTTTTTTTCCAGCAAAAATAAATTTTTAAAAATCATCATCCCAAGGAAGTTTTTTTTTTTTTTTAAAGATGACCGGTAAGGGGATCTTAACCCTTGACTTGGTGTTGTCAGCACCACGCTCAGCCAGTGAGCGAACCGGCCATCGCTATAATGGGATCCGAACCCGGGGCCTTGGTGTTATCAGCACCTCACTCTCCCGAGTGAGCCACGGGCCGGCCCATCCCAAGGAAGTTTTAAATCCCATGTGTCGCTTCTGTCTAGGCAAACAGGTCACACTAGTGTGGGACTACACCTGCCCAGAGGAAAGAGTGTCATTTCTGAATTTGTACAAAGACTCTATTTGTCTACAAAGCTTTATAGTTTTAAATTGTATTTGGATGACTTTTAAAAAAACCAATATTATCTAAAACATTCCAAGTACAAGGCTCTAAAAATCATAACCTATTTCTTCTTTGATCATATTACTTCAACAAATATTCTGTGCTCAGGCAGGTGTGTTTTAAGACTTCTCCATCTACTAAAAACATCTCAATTGCCTCAATTTACTCATATCTGTCTCTAGAATTTTAATTTAAATATATTTCTCTTGCTCATATCATTTAATGCCACCCAAATACTGGTGGGGGACAGGCAGGTTGCAACCTGCACAAGGGTACTGAGCCAAAGAGGTGAGTGGAAGGAGGTGGCCTGAATCCAGCCCACATGTTCCTTGTCAAGCAGATCTTTTACTGTGGGAGTTTGTGCAGAGGAAGAAAGCTCTTTTCATAGTTTTCACAAAAGCACCATTTGCCCCAAAGAGCCTTGTAGACTGGACTTCCCTTCTAAGCACCATTTTGTTCTACAGAGTGGCTTCCTGTGGGCCCTGCCTATAACCATAACCTTTTAAGAATTTAAGGAATGCAAAATGTGTGGGGCCTTGGAATAATGAGATCTGTGAAGAAGCCCAGAATCTACAATTCAAGTTGAATTCAAACTTCAGAGAACTTACAAAAAAAAAAAAAAAAAAAAAAAAAAAAAAAAAAAAAAAAAAAAAAAAAAAGACAGATATAGGCTTTCATCCAAACATCTATATTCAATGGGTACCAACACCCCTACCCTGGTTCCAAGAATTTCTCTGAAAAAGAAGTATCAAGGTTTCTTCTCCCACTCACTTCCAAGCCAGGGCTGGTCCCAGTCCTGCCACAGGCTCACTGGTTGACTGTAAAGCAAATTCTCGGTTCCACACTCTGAACTTCCGAGCCCCTGTGCAGTAGGTGGAGGCAAACAAACACACTTAAAACATTATGATAACTGTTGTCAAGTCAGAACTTTCCAACACCTTCCTCATACATAAAAACTGTCATGGTCTTACAGAGCCAATCAGATTAATCTTGTTAAAAATCTGTATGTACTAGCTGGGAGGCTGGACCAGATGGCCTCACAGGGCTCTTCCAATTCTTGACTCTAAACTCACTTAACATCTAAAGCAGCACATTTTTACCTTATATGTGTAATTAATACCTCACTCAAAGCAAAAAAGGAAAAAAACTTTACTGAAGTTTAATAAGATAAACTTTTTTTGTTGTTTATTTGCAATTTATTCTCATACCTGTTTCTGGGCAAACAACACTCAAAGCAAAAAACTGTCCATCCCCACGCCAGGTAACTTGTGGTCTATGATCATCCCAGGGCAAAGCAGATTCGTGCTAAAGAGAGGAAGAAAGACAAATATCATTGGGGGACCTTAAATGGCCCAGAATCAAATAAGCCTCGGGCCATTAAATACAAGTCTTTTATATAAGGTTTAAGCTATCTAAAAAAACAATGTCTTCAGGAACCCTTCTAGAAAAGCGCTTAGACCCAAAAATCATCAAAAAAAAGAGAAAAGAACTTAAAACAAAAAATCTTTCTTTGGGAATTAAAAAAAAAAAAAAGTGGCCTCTAAGCATAGCAATAGAGGAAAAGAGCTATAGATCTCAATATTAAATATAATGAGCTAAGGAACCTATCAGGTAATGATAAGGAAATAAACGTTCTTTTTGTCTAAATATAACAGGATAGAGCTTTGTTTTTTTTAATTACTACGCTTCACAACAGGGCACAGAAGAGTTTAAAAGGCGAGAGGAAAGTGGATAGGAAGAGCCACTGAGGTGGTAAAGGTAGCAGCAAACAATGACGAAAAGAGAGAAGAGTTCTGCATTCAGAGTATGAGACGAATTTCTTCTCTAGTCTCTAGTGCCACTTGATCTCAATCCTAAAGACCTTGAAGACAGCAGCCAACTGTCGAGGATGGGAGATAACCACCTGAGCACTCAGCATCACGTTCTAGTGACAGCCTAAGTCAGAATGCTACTAGTACTGGAGTCTGCACAATAAGGAATATGCAGGTAGCCTAACAAGATTTATTCTCAAACTGTCCTATGGTATAGAACATAAACTTCCTCTAATGAAGGGTTAAGTACTGAAGTATGTTATATGGATTATAGCTAGAAATAATTAAGGACAGAAAATGTAAATAGAAAGCAGGGTCTTACTGATACATCTATTCTAGAAGTGCAGCTCAAGAAAATTTCTACACAATGTAAACTTATGCTTCCATTTGTCCAGGCCCAAACCTTGTTGTGATGCTCAATTCCTCTCTCTCACGCCCACATGTGATCTATATCAATAAAGCCTGTAGCTCTACCTTCAAAATGTATCCTGAGTCAAACCACTTACCACCTCTCTACTCTCTCCCTAGTCCACACACAGATTACTGAAAGAGCTTTCAGCCATTCACTCATATTCCCCTCAGTTCACTTAACACAAGAGCTAGAGTGATCCATTAAAAACATAAACCACAGATAGAATTTCCATCTGATCCAGCAATCCCACTCCTGGGGATATATCCAGAGGATTGGAAAACATCAGGTGAAAGGCACACCTGCACTCCCATGTTTATTTCAGCTCTATTTACAATGGCTAGGCAATGGAACCAACTTAAATGTCCATCAGTGGATGACTGGATAAGGAAATTGTGTATATATACACAATGGAATATTACTCAGCCATAAAAAAGAATGAAATTCTGCCATTTGCAACAACATGAATGATCCTGGAGAAAATTATCCTAAGTAAAACAACCCAGGTACAGAAAAAGAAATACTACATGTTCTCACTCATAACTGAGAGCTGAATCCATAAATAAACAAATAAACAATAAAGAGAGACAGAGTCAGAAAGAAAGAAAGAAACAACAATCACAGTAATACATTGAACTTTTAGAAAACTAGAGGTGGACGAGGAGAGGGGTGAGGGGGAGGGAGGGGAGCTAACGAGGAATTGGTCAATGGACACAAAGAATGATTGCGTTATTGTAATGATGAATCAGCTAACTATACTGATCTAACCACCACACACTGTACACAGTTATTGAAAATCAATGTTGTCCCCCACATGTATGTATAATAAAAAATTAAAAATTAAAAAATGAAAAATATGTAACAAGAAATAAAAAAAACATAAATCAGACCTTGTCACTCTGCTCAAACCCTCCAATGGTTTCCTATATCAATTGGAGTAAAAGCGAAAGTAATAACATCAGGCTACAAGCACACTGCTATTGGGCAGATATGTCCCCCAAAAGTTCATGTACTGAAAACTTGACCACCAATATGATAGTGTTAAGAGGGTGGGAAATCCTATTATGGTACTTGAAAGGTGGGGCCTTTAAAAGGCGATTAGATTGTGAAGACTGTGTACTCATGAATGGATTGACCCATTCATTGAGGAATGGGCATGGTTCTGATGGCTTTATAAGGAGAGTGAGTGAGAATGTTAGCTCTATTGCTCACTCCACTCTCTCCACATAACACCTTGTGTCAACACCATATAAGAAGGCCCTCAACATATGCGTTCCCTGGACCTTGGACTTCCCAGCCTCCAAAAAAGAAAAAAATTAATTGTATTTCTTCATAAATTATCCAGTTTCAGGTATTCTGTTATAAGCAACAGAAACAGACTAATACACGTGCCCACCCTGATCATTTCTCTGACCTCAAATCCTACCATTCTCCTCTTCCCCAAAGTCATACTGCCACACTAGCCTCCTGTCTGTTCCTTGAACACCAAGAACAAATGCTACTTCATGATCTTGAGCACTGGCTGTTCCCTCTGCCTCGAATCCTCCTCCCCAGATATTCCCATTGCTCACTCCCTCATTTCCTTCAGGTCCACAGTCAAACAGCACCTTCTCAGTGTGGCCATCCCTAACCACCCCTCCTGCTATTTATCTGGCACTCCTTACCCTGCCTCATTTTCCTCCACAGCATTTTTCTTTTTTTTTTTTTTCCTTTTTGTCTTTTTTTGTGACCAGTAACGGGATCACAACCCTCGGTGTCGCGCCCGCAACACGCTCAACCAGTGAGCAGACCGGTCTCTATATGGGATTCGAACCCTCAGCGGGAGCGCCGCCGCACTCCCAAGCGCCGCACTCTACCGAGTGCGCCACCGGGCCGGCCCCACAGCATTTTTCAATTCCAGCATATTGTACATTATTTTAATGGCTGTCCCCTCCCAAAGAATGTATGCTCTATTGAGGGTAGGCGTTTTGTTCCCTGCCATATATACCCAGTGACTTAAACAGAAACTGACACACTGTAGGTAACTCAATAAATGCTTTGTAATGAGTGAATGATAATCTAAGAGAGTAGGAAAACAACACAAACGCAATGTCCTAAATCAGCATTACTCGGCACTAGGAAAGCCCAGGAAGGGAATAAGCTGAGAACTGAATAATACAACTTAAAAACCAAACCATTCACATGAACACTCACATCTGACTAATCCATGGATTTTTCTTTTGTTTTCTGAAGCATAGCTGTGAACATTCAAACCAAGACAAGGCCCTAAAGAGCTTTTACAAAAAGTTCATGAACAAAAGCTAGAGTATACTGGACAGTACAATAGAATGTGTTTTTTTTTTTTTTTTTTCTTATTACTCGAATCATTTTACATCACTAATTTTTTTTTTTTTTTTTCTTATTACTCGAATCATTTTACATCACTAAAAAAACTTAATTTTAGCAATACTAAACAACTCTCACTGTAGCAGATACTAGGAGTAACATGTCTTCTCCAGAATTTACTTGAGTATGGAAAACTGTTTAACTTCGAATATTACTGCAGATTTCCTTAAAGTAGTTTTTTTTAACACCTGTATTGGGATATAACTTATCATAAGATTCATCCATTTGAAGTATACAATTCAATGTTTGTTAGGTGTATTTACAGAGTTGTATTACCATCACCATAATCTACATTTTGAACATTTCCATCATGCCAAAAAGAAACCTCATATCCATTAGCAGTCACTCCTCCCTCCACCCCCAAAGTCCTAGGCAACCACCAATCTACTTTCTGTCTCTATAGATTTGCCTGGGCATTTCATATAAATGGGTGCTATGGGTCTACTGTATCCCCCAAAAGTTCATGTGTTGGAAACTTAATCTCCATCGTAACGGTGTTAAGAGAGTGGGAAAGCCAATTATGATATTGGAAAGGCAGGACCTTTAAGAGGTGATTAGACTGTGAGGACTGTGCCCTTGTGAATAGATTGAACCATTCACAGAGTAAGGGGTGTGGTTCTAATGGCTTTAGAAGGACAGCAAGTGAGGTTAGATATCTTGCTCAGCCCATTCTCACCATGTGATACTCTGTGTTGCTGTACAAAGTTCCCACCAACAAGAAGGCCCTCACCAGATGTGTTCCCTGGACCTTGGGCTTCCCAGACTCCAAACTGTAAGAAATAAATTTCATTTATTTATAAATTACCCAGTTTCAGGTAGTCTGTGGGATTATACAATATGTGTTCTTTTGTGACTGGCTTCTTTCACTTCACATGTTTATAATATTCATCCATGTCACAACAAGTATTAAATCTAAACTATATGGTCTTAGAAAGTTGTAGCATATTTACTTGTTGCTTAGAGCAAGAAAGAATATACAAATGTGCAAAAACTATTTACTTGGCCAAGTTCCTTCCCTCCTACATACATTTTAGTCTTTTTGTAATAAAATTACTTAAAAACCAGGGGGATATAAAAACCAGTTGTCCAAAGCTAGACAACAGTAGAAGATCACCCCAAGGAAGCAAGGTTGTGGCTGGGAATACTTACTCCCATCTTTCTGCCCTCTAATAATCCTTTACTGATTCGAATAGATCAGCAGTTTTCTTAATGTCAAATTAGACCCACCATGAATATTTTACTCACAACCCAGCTGTCTTGAAATTTAAAAAAAAAACAAAAAACACTATGCTGCTTTTTAAAAAAAGTTTCAAAAGTTATTTACCCACTAAAATAAGAGCAGCAAATTACCATTTGAGTGTCTTCCTTGTGCTGATGCAGTGGTAGCTGTTTTACGTATATTATTACCTCCAAATCTCAACCCTTGTAAGGAAGCATTATGTACACTTTACGGACAGTAATACTGAACCTCAGAAATGTTAAGAAACTTGCCAAGGTCTCACAGCTACTAAATGTCATGATGATAAACTAATCTGTACCTTTCTAACAGAGATATATGCTACCCCTAATGCAAGAGGATAAACATGGCACATCTTCCTGGGGCATTAATTTTAGTCAGTGGAATATTTTAAATTAACATTTTTTAAAATATTCATATTGTAAAATTTAAGATAAAATGTAAGAATTTTAAAAAACTTAATGTGATAGCTACTTTCCCAGATGCCCCAAGAGTATGCACTCCTCACATTTGCATGCTCCTCTTGTGTTCACAACTGTTCTGCCTTCAGGGGCTCTCCTTATAAGATTAAAAAGTACTATCTTGAGTCATCAAGACATCATTACGTGGTCTTTAGAATTTTCTAATCCAGAAGTAAGGAAAAATCAGAAAAAGCATCTAATATAGACATATGTAGGAAAAGTATGAAAACATGCATGAGAATGATCAATAGCAAATGCAGGACAGCAGCTCTCTGGGGAAGAAGGGGAAGGATTTCAGGAAGGTCTACACGAGCTGTATCATTTCTGTTTGTAATGCTTTATTTTTTAAACTGGGTGATAAATATTGATTATAATTATTTGCTACACTGTAAATAAATCAAAGCAACTTGGCAATAAAAAACAAAAAAGGATCTTTCTAGGATGACTCACTTCCTGAGGGTTCTAAACAGTCTTACTAAAGAGGAGAATTGTCTGTGTGTGTGTGTGTGTGTGTGTGTGTGTGAATTGATTTATTTATTTTTAGCTCCCGCCAATAAGTGAGAACATGTGGTATTTCTTTTTCTCTGCCTGACTCGTTTCACTTAATATTATTCTTTCAAGGTCCACACACACACAAAGAAAACAAAAACAAAAAACCGGGGGGGGGGGGGGGGGGGAGAGGAAGGTATAACAACCACAATTTTTTTGAAGTTCTTACAACAAGCAAATGGAAAGGACATGCTTGGGGGGGGGGGGGGGGGGAGAGGAAGGTATAACAACCACAATTTTTTTGAAGTTCTTACAACAAGCAAATGGAAAGGACATGCTTGGGGGGGGGGGGGGGGGGAGAGGAAGGTATAACAACCACAATTTTTTTGAAGTTCTTACAACAAGCAAATGGAAAGGACATGCTTGGGGGGGGGGGGGGGGGGAGAGGAAGGTATAACAACCACAATTTTTTTGAAGTTCTTACAACAAGCAAATGGAAAGGACATGCTTGGGGGGGGGGGGGGGGGGAGAGGAAGGTATAACAACCACAATTTTTTTGAAGTTCTTACAACAAGCAAATGGAAAGGACATGCTTGGGTGGGAGGAGGGAGAGGGAGGAGGGAGGGAGGTTTCGGTGATGGGACATATTTATCAACTACATTGTATATTGACAAAATAAAAATTAAAAAAAATAAAATAAAATAAAATAAATAATAAATAAATAAATAAATAAAAGAGGAGAATTGTCCATTATAGGCCTCTAACTAGACATCTAAGAGTTCCAGGTGGGTGGCAGAACTTCCACCTGTCCCACTCAAGGCTCTTTAGCCATCAAACCAACCTTACCATTTGCACCTGAAAGGCCGCTTGCCTGCCTTCCGATCCATGGAACTGCGTCTCCTTCTTGCCCCATCCAACAGTAATAAACTTGCCTGGAAAACAAATGATTGAGAACATGCAAGACAACCAATAAGCTAAATGAAATGAAACAAAAGCAGTTTCACTGCTACATGAAGTTAGTCACTGGCAATTACTTGGCCCTCTAAAACCTCTCAATAATTTGACCAGCAGTCAATATTTGAAAAGCCTATGTAGCATGTTATGGGCAGCAGTCATTTTGAAGAATTTGAAATGCCCTTATTCTGGAAAGTGCTTTACTGCCATCTTACATATTCTAACTTCTCTTGATGACACAAGTCAGCAATCTTACCCTCCCCTTACAAGTTAGAAAGAAGAATTCTCACATGTTCACAGATAACAAAACATTAAACCCAAGATAAGAGCTGGGAATAAAATTCTGATTGTAAGCTTTCAATCAACTAAATGTGTTCAACCTCCACACTGGTAATGGTAAGGACTGTAGATCATTGGATCCGGATCCCCATGTAGATGTGGAGACTGAGCCTCCCTAGCAGCCGAGCCCAAAATTAGAATACAGGCCTTCTGCCTTCCAGACTGACTGGGATTCTTTCTAAATCATAATACTTCTCTTACATAAAATATAGGGACAGAATTGCCAAAACACAACCCTTCTATTCCTGAAAGTAGGAGCTGCTATGCATCTGCAAGAGGCACTATAAGGATGCATCAGCCAAATCCAGGACCCAATACTTCCCTCCTGCTGTTGGTTCTGATGAAGCCGATCTGTTTATCATTTCTATAAAGTATGGGCTAGCATGACCATTTCCTGTCTGCTCTACACAGGCACATCCAAGCACTATGGTACCTGAAAACACACCTTGCTGCTGTATACAAATAGCAGTGCCTCCTGGTACAAACCCCCAAGCTTCTATCTGTGAGTTTCCACAGATAGGTAAAGGACCAAGAAGCAAAGCAAGGCATCTTTTCTAATGGGATCAGATAATAAGTGATGGGGTTACAGAAGGGATCTGCAAACTACAGCCCATGTCTGCTTTTACAAATAAACTTTTATTAGAAAACAGCTGTGTTTAAGTCTTGTCTCTAACGACTTTCACACTACAACAGCAGAGTTGAGTAGTTGCAACAGAGACCGCATAGCTTGTAAAGCTGAAAATATTTACTATCTAGCACCTTACAGAACAAGTCTGTCAACCCCAGAATCAGAAGAAAAATACTCATCACTCCATAGAATGATTTTTATTGTACAGATACACACATTTCTTTTTTTTTTTTTGTCTTTTTTCGTGACCAGCAACGGATCGCAACCCTCAGTGTCGCGCCCGCACCGGACCGGGACCGGCAACGGGATCGCAACCCTTGGTGCTGCCCCCGCTCCTCGCTCAGCCAGTGAGCGGGAACCGGTCCGCATGTGGGATCCGAACCCTCGGCGGGAGCGCCGCCGCACTTCCCAAGCGGCGCACTGTAGCAGTGCGCCACCGGGCCGGCCCCCAGATACACACATTTCTAAGACTTAAAACCCTAAGTTGGACTCCCTTCCCTTGATTTACCATATTAGGCTTTTTATGAAAAAGTTGGTGGAAAAAGCCATGCCCAGTGCATTTTCCCATCCCAAGGTGTGCTGTGTGCTGTTAACTCCATGACTGTCCTCAAAACTGGATGCTCCAGAGTTCCATCCTGGATCCTAGACTCTCCTGGCACCATATCTGTTCTCTAAGCAAGCTCACCTGCTCCCAAGATTGAAAGGCTTTCCTAAATACCAATAACTCCTATCCCATATCTCTGGCCTCTCCTGAGCTTCAGCCCTTCTATTTGCCTACTCTGTGTGGCAATCTCATATGGCCCTCAAACAAACCCAAAACAGAACTCTCTACCTGTCCCTTACACATCAGCACTTCCCTCTCTCAGTTACTGGCATCTTTATTCCCATCACCTGAGGTTTTGGCTGGGGTCCCACTAAAGTCTTTCTTCCTCACCTTAACCCAATGCCTATTTATTTCACTTTCTAAACTGGTATTTCTCAAGCTGGCCTAAGGCAGAAGACTATGCACACATTCTAAAAAAGTTTCTCAGATAATTCCAAAAAATGTACTCCTATCCTCATTGACAATCAAGTTTTTCCTCTTCTAGCTCTACACCCACCTTCCTCATTTCTTACCCGGATTCCTACAGCAACCTCCCTGATCACCTTGCCTCTGGTCTCTTACCTCTCCACACACACAAAGAAAAAGAAAATATACCATCAAAAGCAATCTTTCTACTAGAAAATTATTTTTAAACCTCTCATCATCAAAACCTTTAATGGCTGCTCAATTATAACTCAATGTCCATATCCCCTACCATGGCACAAAAGCTTAATCAAGATTTGACCCATTTATTTCATTCTACACTCATGTCCTGCCACTCTGGCAATGCTGAATTACTCACAGTTCCCTGAGTAAGCCATGAGGTTTCCATGAAACATCCCTCCCTTGGAATGGACTTGCTTGGACTACTCCCCCACCCTCACCCTCATCCATCCAACACCAATTCAGCTGAGACTCAGCTCAATTCAGCCTCTCCTGGGAAACCTTCCCTCTCCAGTTACTCCTTTCCATCCTTTACACTACCCTAATACCTGCACATCATGTCATTACAGTACTTATGGGACTTTTAAAGGGAAAATCCATCTACCTAACAATTTTTTAATTATCCACAGCACCAAACACATTTTTGGGCTCATAGTACCTACTCAAAAATGATTTCTGAACAAATAAATTAATTTTAATAAATAAATGAGTAGCAATTTTTTAAATGATTTCTCAGAATTGGTGGAGAAAGAAGTCATGAAGTTAGACCTCAGGAAAGGTTGAAATACCTTCTCCCTCATCCCAGTCTTCAATCAGGCCAACTACCTGGTGTCTTCCATTTGGCTAGAGCTTCTCATACTCTATTAAGCATCTCTGTTTTCCTTCTCCTTCAGTACTCCCATAGCCACAATACCCAAATGGCCTTGGCCAGATCTTAGCAAGAAAACAATCTGATTGTTCCTATAAGAATGCAGTTTCGGGGGCCGGCCCGGTGGCGCACTGCTACAGTGCGCCGCTTGGGAGCCAGTGGCGCTCCCGCCGAGGGTTCGGATCCCACATACAGACCGGTTCCCGCTCACTGGCTGAGCAAGGTGCGGGTGCAACACCGAGGGTTGCGATCCCGTTGCCGGACACGAAAAAAGACAAAAAGGAAAAAAAAAAAAAAAAAAAAAGCAGTTTCGGGTCTAATCAGTAGGAACAAAATCAGCCTTCTACCTCACCTACGTTGTTTTCTCCTCCCCAAAACTGTACTCCAGAAAGTTTCTCCTTATTCTAGCTTGTATAATCCCCTTCACTGAAACCCCAGTCTAAGCCTTTCCTACAGGTTTGGGCAACGACTGTCTAGGTGACCTTAAGTACAGATTTCTAATGCCCAGATTCTGGACAAAGCCAACCCTCAGATCTGGAAAGGCACGTAGAGGTATGCCTTTTAAGATTTAGGATGGGCTGAAAGAATTGGGCTAATAGACATTTAATAAATGGGAGTTTATGCTTCACGGTTCTTTGGGCTTATGATGTGGCCCATTAGTGTTCAAGAAAATGATTAAAACTAAGAAGGAACTCCAAATCACAAAATGTTTCAGATAAAGCTATACTCACTTTCACCAAAATCATCTTGGTGGATTTGCTGCTCCATGATTGGTTCAAAGTCTTTTGTCATCATAATCAGGGTCTGTTGACCTTAGAGGGGTACAAACAAAAACAAAATAAAAACAAAAACAAAATCTGTTTTCATGTAAATTTTTTTTCATTTCTTTTCAATTAAACTTTGCTAAATTTCATGTAACAAATCTGCCATTCCTTATCTATGGTACTGTAAACTATAGAGCTGGAGTTGAGGAGTTATAATAGGGCAGACAGAACTCATTTAAAACACTTTGACTTGGGCCAGCCCGTGGCTCACTCAGGAGAGTGTGGTGCTGATAAAACACTTTGACTTAAGAAAAACAAACCAAAAGAAAAAAACCTTTGATTAGTTAAGTCACCTGGTGCTTATTCTCAGCTATTTATTTGTATAAAGCTGAACATAAAAGTCCACAGAGCCCTCCTCAACTAACTTCAACACTCCTAGTTTCCAAAATATCTCTTGAAATACATACCTCATCAAAGGTGCTGGTTTACTGGACTCATTTGGAATAAAGAGACTTAAAGGAAATATATGGGAATGCAAGAGGGATTTTTAGAATCTGTTTATATAGCAACTCTTGCTCTTAAGAGTATAAAATAAATACTACTGACATTGCACCCTCCCCAAGTTTTATGACTTCATTTCCCATTATCAAAGACTGAAAAAGTTACATAAAACAACTTTTTATAACAATATACTAGGAGATAAAACTTAAAAAAACAAAAACAAACAAAAAATCACTTTCAATCTACATTATAATACTGGTATTATCATTCAAAGAAATTTTTTTGAAACTTAAACACTCTAAAATTTAAGCCTGTAAGATATTACGGGAAGTTTTTTTTTTTATAGAGGCAGTATGTGTGTGTGTGTGTGTGTGTATATATATATATATATTCTTTACTTTATATTTTAGCATATTCCACACCTTTAGAAAATTTTTTTTTTTAAATATTAACTGTGATTTAAAAATAAAAGTTTGCACCACTGTATCTCAAAAAAGTCAAACTGGCAAGAACAGACTTAAAAAAGCTAAGACACATCTAACCTGTAGAGTATATATTCTTACACTATATCATATCATTTGACTACTGAAAAAAAAGACTGGATTACAATACCCATCTCAACATGCTTTTCCATACAAATTAGAAGGATTTCAATTCCCAAGTCTCCTTTGAAAAAAAGTAATATTAATGCAATGCAAATCAGAACATCTAATTAATACAATTAACAACAAACCAAGGCAATTTTGTTACATAAATTAACCCATTTATTATAGGCTAGTGACGTCTCAAATGGTAGAGCTTCTACTGCTCCTTCCATTTCTTCAGTCTTCTAATGGCAGACTTTACTGTGAAGGTAGAAGTGGTGCTATAGGTCCAGACACAACCCACTACTGTCTTCACGCAGGAACCAGAGTGCCAGATCCCCACAGTTCATCTCTTCATCTTGGTTTTTCCACAGAAGAAGGAGGTGTATTTGGCATGCTGGCTGATTTCAATAATCTTCATCATTTTTTAGAAGGAGGCACCATAGTGGCTCCCATATTTACCAATAATCCTGACCTTCAAGGTGGTGCATTTAGTCATGTCACAGCAAACTAGGTCCAAGCCCAAAGAGCAAGAGTAAAGTTTTATAAAAGTCAGTTAGGCCCAAGTGACAAGCTTACCTGTGGCAAGAAGCACCAGCTCCTGGTCAGGACTCCAACTCATGACAGAGATACCACTGGCTACAGTCCCAACACATTCCAGCTGAGACAGAGAAAATTGAAAAGGGAAATTCAAAATACCAGCATCTCAGTAGAAATTTACTATAACCTCAATCAAAACAATTAAAAACAAAGATACCAGTGTGAACTTATTCAACAAACATTTCTTCAGTGATAGATATCAAGGGATTAGACATGATATTAGGCACAGTGATTGGAAATAGCTATCATTCTTCCCAGACCTGCCTCAGCAGGGAGATAAAAAGATGACTCTGCAGAGGATTAGGGCTATCACTGAGGTCTCTGGGAAGTAAAGTGGGCCTCAGAGCAAGGAATAATGAATAGCCCAGGAAATCTGGGAAAATTTTTATGAGGAGATGTCTCAAAGAGTGATACTAGGGCCAGGAAAGAAAGAGTAAAAGGAAAAACAGTGTTGAGGCACAAAGGCATAAAGAGAGCAGTCAAAAACTCAGCTGCAGGGCCGGCCCGGTGGCGCACTGGAGAGTGCGCCGCTTGGGAGGGCAGCGGCGCTCCCGCCGAGGGTTCGGATCCCATGTGGAGACCGGTTCCCGCTCACTGGCTGAGCGCGGTGCAGACGCAACACCGAGGGTTGCGATCCCGTTGCCGGTCCCCAGTACGGGCGCGACACCGAGGGTTGCGATCCCGTTACCAGTCAGTAAAAAAGACAAAAAGGAAAAAAAAAAAACTCAGCTGCAACTAGAGAATAAAGTATACATATACATAGGAATGAAAGGAGGATAAGGGTAAAAAGACATTTAGGAAACAGTGAAAGGTCTTATAAGGCAGAATAAGAAACAAGAACTCTCTTTCAGACAATTGAGAAGCCACAAAAGGGCAGGATCAGCACCATTAAATGGAGATAAATGGACAGGAGGAGCTCAGTGATCAGGAAAAATATTTTACAAGATGTTTTGAAAATAAAAGCATACTTTTTAAATAAGAGAAATACTAAGTTGTTCATGATGGCTTTGATATTTCTTACTGTGAAATGAGAGTAAGGTTTATTATCGCACTAAATGGAATGGTTATGAGTGAAGGTGACAGATTTAGACTGCCAACGTTCAAACTCCATCTGATAAGTGTAACCTGAGCCTAGTGACTTAAGCTCTCTGTGTCTCAATTTCCTCTTCTGAAGAATGGGAAACAATCTACATCATAAGGTCACAGAAGAGAATAAATAAAATTCTGCATGAAAAGCACTTGAAAAACTGCCTGGCACGTTGTAAACATTTAATAAATGTAAGCTGCTACCTACATCCTACTATTAGTAATATTTTAAGTCCTGTGACAGATGTTAAAGAGATCACAACTAATGGAGTAATCTAAGAAGATTTTTAAAATATCAGGCAATTACAATTTGAAACTCTTGCTCTTAAGAAGGTAACAATAGAAATCTAGAAACTCAACCTTATGCTAGAGTAGAGAAAGAAGCAATAGGTTGAAATCTATCTCACTGATAGTCTAAAATATGCTTGTAATGATACTGTGTTACTCTAGTGACTAGTTCAGGGACTCTAAAGTGAGCCAACCAGCATTATGAGAAAAAATAAGAGACATAAACATTTCAAAGACTTCCTAAATTGAGATATAAAGGTTACAATTCAGGATGAGATTCTCATAAGAATCTCACGAGAATGGCCAGTTTTTATTTTTCTCAAAAGTTGTCACTTGAAATGTTCTGACTGTTCTGATTAATAAATGCGGGAGATAAAACTGAGTTTTACAAGAATCCTGAAATATAGGGAAAGCCATACCAACAATTTTCTTTATAAGGAAATATATATTATAAAGACTCTAATTTGCAAAAGCTTAAATTTTATGACTACTGATGTGAAAAGTTCCAAACAAAACAAGTGACTTGTTTGAGGATGCTTGAGACTTCCTCCTCACTGGACTCTTCCATTTACCTGGTGTGTGCTGAGACTGCAGAGTATGACATCTCCAGAGGCTGTGGCCACACACACAGACTCTTGATCTAGCAAGTCCTGAACTGCAACAATGCAGCCACTTCCATCCTCTGGGAGAAAGCCTTCTGCCACCAAAGAAATTTCATTTTTCACCTTTCACCAAAGCAAACACATAAGCAAATTAACCCAGCTGATTTTCAAAACAATTCATAACATTTCCAGAAATAAAATATTTGTTAATGCTTCTTTTATAATATAAGAGCTTTCAAAAATGTTTTTTCTAGATTAAAATCCAAACTTTCAATCCAAATATTACAACTTTGTCATCTTTAACAAGAAAATAGGTAATGTGACATTTTTGCCAAATAAATACAAAAACAAGCCTTGTCTCTTTTAAAATGTCCAATAAAACATGAAGCTAATAACTGGTTTTCTAAGATTTCTATAGTATAGGAAAAAGGGGCTAAGAATGTAGTCACCTAAAATAAATTAGTAGGAAAATATGATCAAGCAAAGATATCAAAATCAACCAAAAGAGCTTTTAAAAATAAACAAAGTCAGGATCCAGCACTGAAGATCCTGATTTAGTTGACATGGGTTAGGGGCTCAAACATATTTTTAAAAAGCTCCAACGGTGATTTTCATGTGCATTCCCAGCTGAGAACCACTGTTTTACATAGTATTTACATGGTAGAAAGGGTAAAAAGTAGGGTGTCCATTCAAAATATAAGGTTAGAATTTTGCTAACTTAGCTTAAAATAGTAGTACAGTTAAAGGTAGGTTACTGTTTAAGCTATGTCTAACGTGGCATCTGTATAAAGCAAAGAGAATGTTTATTTAGGAAGATATAATTCAATAAGATTTAAAGAAAGACTAACTGGGGAAAGGAAGTTTAGAAGAAGACAAGTCAAGGGTCATACCCAAGTGCTAGCATTCTTCATCAGTAACTTACTTCTCTTGTAATAGGGTTTACTTCTATTAGTCCATGTTCTGAGCCAATGAGCACTGTCCCCTGTTCAGTTCGGAGAGAGAAGCACTGAGGTTTCCCTGGAGCTTGAATATCCCTGAACTCCAGGGTCCGAAGTAACTTCAGATTTCTCATGATGAAGCAATTCCCAAGAGAATATCCCTTGATGAAGCATTAATCCCTAAGAGAGAAAGGAACAGCTTAATAGTGATAAATGACCACACTTATATGAGTAAAATGATTCAGGAGGTGAAGTGGTAGAAAAAAAGAAAAAAAAAGCTACCTCTCTGAACACACACCCACATACAGATGTGTGGCAGCAACCTGAACCACCATAAATAATAGTGATCTACAAACTGAGAATTCTAAAATCTATTTTATGTTCTCACTCTTTAGGAGAGGTGAGATTCTCAGTTTTTTCTTCAAAAAAGACTCAACATCAGTTATTCCTCAGGGAAGTTGAAAAGAACAAATGAATGAGAAAACATTTTATTTTTGCATATAAGAATATCTTTATAACCTGAAAAATTTTAAAAACCATAAGGAAAAACAAGATTACCCCAATGAGTAGAACTGTATAAAAATCTACGTATAACAGGGTACTTCAAAAACTTCATGAAAAGGGGCCGGCCCGGTGGCACACTGGGTAGTGCGCCGCTTGGGAAGCGCGGCGGCACTCCCGCCCAAGGGTTCAGATCCCACATACAGACCGGCTCCCGCTCACTGGCTGAGCGAGGCGCGGGAGCAACACCGAGGCTTGCGATCCCGTTGCCGGTCCCCGGTCCGGTACGGGGGCAACACTGAGGGTTGCGATCCGTTGCCGGACACGGAAAAAAGACAAAAAACAAAAAAAAAAAAAAAAAAAAAAACTTCATGAAAAAATTCACATCTTTCTATTTTTCCAGGAACTTTTTGAAGTACCCTTGTATATACCGACAGCTGAAGAAAATCTGGGATAAAATGACTTTAATATCCTCCAGGTACATTTACTAATAAATTGGCTTTACACATTCATAAAAAAATAAAAATTGAAATAAAAAATAGAAATAAAAGTATTTACTGTTCTCAGAGGGTAAAGAAGATACTGTGAAATGGCAACAGTTTACTTCAAAGGATAACCAACATTTTGAGAAGCTTGATGACCTGATATAACTACTTCAAGTAATTTTGTTTTCCTTGCCAGGCTTTTACCAGTACAATAGAAAAGATGAGAAAAAAATGCTAAATAGGACATCTACTTTGGCAAAACCAGACATGCTTTAATGCACAACTTTAAGCAAGAAATAAACCAAATGTTAATGTGCTGGATATTTTTATCCAGATCCCTTTAAGGTTTATGATTGGAAGTCCCTAACTTATGTTTGGGGTGACAATTAAACAGACCACATTGGACTTCTTGCCACTTCAATCTAATGTGAATTCTCTTATCTTGGCATTTCATGTATTTGACATCAAAAAAATAAAGATGAGTCGATCCTTAAGGTACATAGCAGATAATGCCAAATGTAATAGGAATGACACAAATGTAACGTGGCTTAAGAAGAAGGCAAAATCATATACGGTGGGAGTGAGGAAGAGAATCAAAGCAGACAACGATTTTAGTAAGTTTTGGTGACATTTATATTCAAGAACATCTGGAAATTATTTGAACCTGTATTATATACCCTACAGGTTTTAAATTTAAACCTAACTCTATGTATAGAACTTAGGTCTTTCAAAGCATATAAAAATTACATGGCTTTTATCTTTAAATATCATAAGGATGACCACTGACATAGATATGAAAGAATGGGTAAATTTGAGATGAGAGAATGACTGGCATGTCTGGCTAAAGGGGAGTAAGCAAGGGACAGAGTAGCAAGCAGTAAGAAAAGATGGGCAACAGGGAGCCTGCTGTGTTGTTTCTTAGCTGTTTTTCAGGATGGTTCACCTAATAATAATCATGCTGTTACAGTGCCATGATCAGATCATCATAATGTCTCCATATCGCTCCCTGTGAACTTGGGTTCTATTCAGCAACAACCTGTGGAGCTTTGGGACCCATGGAACCCAAGGATAAGGATGTGGGAGGGTAAAGGCAAAAGGATACAAGGATTCACTTTTTCCCCGCTATCTTGCTGTTCCTGTCAATGTTGCCCCAGCAATGGGCCTTCATCCTTGCTGGGGCCCTTAATCCCAGTCTCTAGCACTCCCAGCACTAGCCTCATCACCCCCACCTCCAGAGTCACCAGCAGGGCCCCGCTCCAGACATCTGAAATGCAGTTTTGTGGGTCTCGTCATCTGAATTCCTGATTTATCAACACCAGAAGTCTAAGTCCCAGCTTTACAGTGCCTCTCTTCAAGGTTTAGGTCCTGATAACCCTAACATCTTTCCCTTGTCCCAAGCTAAGTGTTGTAGCTGCTTCCTTCAGCTTCCCTTTTATGTCACTTCAGGTCTCCCTCTCACCTTTTGTTCCTTAAACAGCTATTTAACCAATTCTTATATTAAATTCTCTCTGTTGAAATACTGTGTGGTTTCTACTTTTCTGACTGGACCCTGACTGACAAAAAGAGCAACCTGAGTTCTCCAGTCTCTGAGTTTTCAAAATCACCAGTTCATAGCCAGTTAAGTGAGCCCATTTATCTCCCTCCCACCCCTACCCCCTTAGTCTCAAAACTAACTTCTCTAAATTTTCATACCCATCACCCTTACTCCCTTATCTTCTCAGAGGAAGACATATCCCCACTCCTTTCAAGGCTAGGACAGGAATATCCCCTAAACTCCTCCAGGATCTCAGCCTATTAGTACACTTTCTTTGACATATGTAATCTCCAACTACCCTGTCTCCATTCACTGAACTTTTCTCAGCTCTTAAATGTGCTAAAGATCCCTCCACACCGTAGGTCAATCCTGAATCCTCTCCTAATTTTCTGACAACTCCTCCATTTTCTTCCCTTGTTCTTTCATCTAACCACCTCTTGGTTAATCGTCATGCTCATGACTACAAGTACATGGCAGATGGCTAAAATGCTGATTAGATCTAAATGTCTTCTAGTCCTGACTGAACTAACCCAAACTGAACACTAAATCCACATTTTCAACCTCCTTGTTACCACAAGCATGTGTCAAGTACCTCAAACACAACCTGGAAAACGAAGTCCATGCTATTCTTCCACCAAAGGACAGTTCCCCCTATTTGGGTAAACGGCATTTCTACTCTCTCTGTCCCCAAGCTGAAAACTGTCTGGCTCCTTTTTTGCTCACTTTCTCATACTGAACTATTCACTGCTTACCTCCAAGGCTGCCAATATACATTTGAATCCTTTACACAGTACCTAATCCTATCATACGGTTTATAGACTGTATCAAATATCGACTAGTACTTGCTAAGTGCTCGGATCTGAAGATAAAAGATTACCCTAACAGTCACTGCCTCCGCGGAGATCACAGCTTAACGGGGGAGAAAAACCACATAATATACCACATTAGATGGAGAAGCACAAGCGACACCACCTCCACTAAAAACCGGCAGACGCGAGACGGGGTCCGCAGCACAGCACCCGAAACTCTCCTCTCAACCACTGCCTTCCCGGTGGATTAATTCATTCGCTTTCCGGGTACTAACCACCCCCTGCAAGGAATCCGGAGCTGGGTTAAGTGCAGCTGAAGAGCAGCACGTCATTCGCGGGCCGCCACGCCCCGCAGCGCCCCCAGACGGTCGCGGGTGGCGCGGGAGGCAAGTCTGCAGAAAGAGAATGGAAGGCTCGAGGAAAGTGATGATCCATGCCGCACTCCACCCTCCGGCCCACAACAGGTAGAGGAGCCAGGACACTCCTGGGCGGACAGGGCCCGGTCCCGTGTCTCACCCCGGTGGGTCACTCGAACGCTCACCTGAGCCGCGCTCTGAGGACCCACAAACAGCGGTGCCTCCCCGGCCACGGGCAGCCGGCCTCCCAGAGCCCGGCCCGGGTTAAGCACACGCCTCCCTCTCCGCGGCTCCCGAGCTCTCGCGGCGAGCCCTGGGCCTCCGGGGGTAGAGCCACTCGACCCCCGGGGAATAGGGACTGAACCGTGGCAGGGGCGCTGACCGCGCAATGGTGACGCGTGAGAGAAGCAGACTGGACACGCGCCGAGCGGCGCGGGCGTGACGTCACTAGACGGAGGAGGCGTGGCCGGGCAGGGGCGGCTTCCTAGGTCGCTCGCAGCGCAGGCCTTCTTTGTAGCCCTGGCAAGTTAGAGGTACAAAAGCTGCGCTGGCCTCCGCCCCCTATCCCTCTGCCCTCAGCCCACCCTACTGTATTTGATCATCGCTTTGACGGAACCCAAAGCACCTTAATCGACGGAGGTGGGCGGAGCCTTTGGGTCCGGGGAGCAGCGCGCGTGCGCCCAACGCTGGCCGCGCTCCGGAAGGACACTCCTAGTCGGGCCTGCCCGGAGGAAGCGCTCCGGCCCCGGAGGGCGGGGTAGCGGCGCCGCAGGTCGCCATGGCTACCGAGCCCGAGGCCACGGAACCGGCTGTGCCGTCGCTCGTGGATCGTTACTTCACGCGCTGGTACAAAGCGGGTAAGTGCGGAGTGATGCCCGTCTCTGTTCGGGCGCATTGGCCGGATGCTGTGGAGACTACAGTGACAGATCATGAGCCACGCGCGCTTTCCCCGGCGCTTTCTCCCCACGTCAGAAGGAACTGAACTTCTGTGTTCCCCTCCAGGCCGAGACAGTGGCATTTGCAAAGACTTGGAGGCCTGAAATACAGCAAAGCACATTCTGGTGCTGGCGAGCACAGTGAGAGCTCGAGGGTGGGTTGCAAAGGTCCTGAGTGTCTGGAGGAATTTGAGGAGCTCAATCCTATAGAGATCAGCGATACATAAAATTATTTAAATGATCATAGCGAAACCAAGGTAGAAGCAGTAGGGATGGAGAGAAGAGAGTTGGTTAGGATAGAGACATTTAGAAAACACAATCTACAGTTTTACTTGACAAGCTGCCAGTATTGTCCATTTACCACTTAGAAGTAGGTATTCCTGTTGTACTATTTTGTGTACTCAGTAAATCCCAGTGGCGGGAGCATCGTTAAGAACTTTCCCCTAACTCCTACTTTCTCCCTTTCATTTGGGGATAATTGGTGTATTTTTTTTTTCCTTTTTCTTTTTTAATATTGTAACATATTTTCTGTTGGCCTGATTTAGGGTGACCAACCGCCTTGGTTCACCCAGGGCTGAGGGGTTTCCCGGAATGTGGGACTTTCTGCTCTAACAACAGGACACTCCTAAACAGGACACTCCTAAATACCACGAACAAAAAATATGCTACCATATCATAAAGACTGTGATGCTCACTTTAAAGTGAGGATAAAGCAAGATGAAGCAAGGAGTTAATCATCTTAACAACGAATAAACAATTCTATCTGGGCCAGGTCCCTTTAAATACTTTATAGGAAGACTTTAGGTATATGTTTTTGAGTAATGAAGGGATACCAGTGATCACCCTGTGTCTAGTCTTCAGAATTAACTATCTCTGTGAACCAAAGATAGTACCACGTGGTGGTAGTAAATATTGATTGAACAGACTCATTTATTCTTCTAGATGTCAAAGGAAAACACTGTGAGGACCACTGTATATTACAGCACTCTAACCGGTAAGCAAATTAGGAATTTTAAAGATCCAAAACTTGCTTTTTAAAAAATTTTTCTGGTATTTTAGCCTGGTATGGCCTTGAATCGAACAAGTGTTCATTAAATGAACATTCATTAAGTTATCTTCCATTGTGTTGAAATGGTATTATGGGAGTTTGGTTGGCAAGAAGGAGTCTTCTAGTGCCTCATCACTCTAAAACAAATAAGCTTGATTACCCAAACTTCCAAAAGGAGGACCACATCCTCAGTCGGCTATCTGAAGCTGCAAGCTTGTACCTAACCACTGAACTGCCAGAGATCATGGAGAGGGTTAGGGTAGAAGCATAAGTGGTATCCTGTATACACAGGCATACCTTATTTCTCTTTTTTCTACCCCAGTGCTACCTAAAGACCTCTGGTACTCTTCCCTTTCCTGGGAAGGAAATTCAATCCTGTTTTCTCCTCTTTTATTAATGCGTTCTTCATTCTGTAGTTATTCTCCAGTAGTTGCCAAAGGAAAAAGGGGGAAGATGATAATTCGACTAAACAAATGTCAATTCAGACATTCTTATGCCAATAGGAATACTGAGTTTTAAGAGGAAGAATTATACCAATAATTATAAGCAATAACAAAGGATCCATTTTTTCTTTTTGCAGAATATGTGTCATCACATTGGCAAGATCTCATCCAGTTCTTCAAAGTGGAAAAACAATTAAAAGCATTTCCTATCAGATCAGTACTAATTGTAGCAGACTTCAGAACAAGGTCTCTGGAAAATTTAAACGGGTATGTTCCTATAATTCTGTGATTATCTACTTAAATCCTGCATATTTGTGGTAATGATAGATCCAGTCCTTTTTGGGGGGGGGGAGATTTTTTATTTTTATTTTAATTGAAACATAATTGATTGTACATATCTGTGAGATACAGTCAAGTCTTAGAATCTGGTAACGTATATTCGGCATACTTCTCTGGCAGTGTGAGGTGCTGACTTTAAGTATACTTTAACCCTAAAGAAATTCTCAGACCAAAATAATAAGGCATTTCAGGAGGCATAGTATCTGTCATATAAGGTTCTGTACCACCATCCATCCCAATTATTCCCAGAATAGAAGAAGGCGGAGGCAGGCCTTTGAAAGGGCAATTCTGATACTAATATAAAAAGATGTTTTGTCCCTTCTAGTTTTATTAAACCAATATCTCAAGTCCCATAAAATTTAGGTGACCAATTCTTCTTTACTAGGTATTTTTACATGTAAATTAAAAAGAAAAAAATGTATCCTGAGGGAGTAGGAAAAACATCTGAGAAAATAGGTGGTATTTGCTCTTACCATTTTTCCATTCCTAAAGCACTGCTAATCTAATACACATCTACCCACACCCTCTACCTCCGCAAATGCTCAGTCATACAGAATATCATTTCTACCCTCAAACTCTAGGCAAGATGGACATTTTATTAAAAGAGGGTATCACACCAAGTACAATTTAGGAACACATTAAGGTGTCCCAACAAACCTAGTGATTGGGAAAGTTTCTGTGGATGATTTAAGTCCTTCATTTACTGAGTTCATGATAACAGTTTCTGCTAACTGCTCGCACTCTTCTAGGAGACCCTTATTCATACTCCCCTTTGTAGGTCCACAGTCCCCTAAAATATGCCTTATAATCATTGATCCGTCTTCATTCAGGAAAGAAATGGACTTAGAAAGTAATAGGAACCTTTTTTAAAAGATAAAGTCTACACATTACAATAAGTATAAACGTTAATGCTTGTGAAGTTCCTGTGATAAATCTCTGTCCAAAACAGTAACACTGCAGTTACTAATGAAGAACATAGAGGGACCTGCATATTGAACCCACTACAGGTAAGTTTTAGTTGGATCTCAGAACTGCCAATCATTTATTCTCCCAAGAGAGGTGATAAAAGGGGGTCAAAACACCTCTGCTCTTCTGACAGATCCAGTTGTAGATTAATGCTGTAGGACAAATCCCCCATTCCTTCTCCCAAGAGCAGAGAGTCGTAATGACTCTCATTTTGTAATAAAGTACCCACATGCAGAGAAGTGAAGCCAATATAATAATATCTGAATGTTACTAATAATGTTTAAAAAGAGGTCATAAAGATAACCTATGTTCACTACAGGAAGAATTCCTGGGAAAAAGAAGGCAAGGGCAACAATGAGATATGCTCTCATTGGCTCCCATGAGCATCCTTGTAGATATTTTGTCAGCTCCTCCCAGATACGTCCATCTGGTGAAATGTATGAGACATACTGTGCCATAACATTCAAACAGATGTATATCAAAATGTAGTATTTATCGGGTTATAGGATAATGGATAAATTATTTTTATATTGCTACTTAAAACTTTTCTACATTTTCCAAATTTTCTGCAAGGTGCACAATGTTGTTGTTTTTTAATTAGAAAAATATCCCATCTTCAAAAACTCCTAGTGATTGACCATGATAAAGAACTTTCTTTATTTATTAAGTTTTAATATGAGTGTACTTCAAAAAGTTAGTGGAAAAATGGAATTAAAAGATAATACAAATCTCTTCATGAATGTATTGAAATACTCTGTATAAAAATAAGGTAGGAATCTTAATGGAAACTAACTTTGTAAAATGTTGCTGTTATACTCTGTCATGTTGAATTTTATGTTTTTGCTTGTTGATGGATTTTCCTACACTTCTACACTCTTTACACCTAGCTATATGTAGCTTTTTCATTTATAGTTGATAAATTATATTATTTGTCTGTAACTAAACTACCTATATTACATGTGTCTGAGCTTTTTTCCCTTGAGCCTAAGATGATACCTGGCATAATAGGAACTTATTGTATAAATGATTGAATATATGAATGGTTTTTATGGACTTAAATCATTTTTATTTAAAACATCAATTCCAGGAATATATCCTATTATAATACTGAGGGCTTCCTCTCAGAGTAAAGTGGAAATGTACCTCAATTAATTTCTTCTTCCCTCTCATTACACAGGGGGCACAGTTCCTAACAGAACTTGCACCTCTATGTAAGATTTACTGTTCAGATGGAGAAGAATATACCATATCTAGGTGAGTAACTTTTTAGCCACTATTTAGGAGAAACAAAAGAGATAATATTTTTCATGAACATAATTCTTTTTTTTAATAGCTGTGTTAGAGGACGGTTGATGGAAGTGAATGAAAACATTCTCCATAACCCGTCTCTTCTTCAAGAAAAGGTAAAAGAGAGAAAAACAGTATGATCCCATCCACATACCTTTTACTGGAACTTTTTTTATCATGTGACAGTACTAAATATTCTATTTCCTTTCCAGCCATCCACTGAAGGCTACATTGCAGTTGTGTTACCCAAATTTGAAGAAAGTAAAAGCATAACAGAAGGCTTACTGACACAAAAACAATATGAAGAAGTTGTAATGAAACGCGTTAGTGCCACAACAGCTATGTCGTGAGGATGGAGTAAAAAGCAACTCGGGATTCTTATCCTTACCAGGCCTAAACCATCAGTGCACTAAAGAAGAAACAGTACATGTGCAGTATACGTCACACCCAGCTGTCCACAGTGGAGGCCTGATCCTTCACGTAACCTAGTCTTCCCTCTTCGTCCTGCATAACAAACCTTGGTTCCCATTTGCCTTCCACCTCCCAGGTCTGCCCTGCCAATGTCCACACTCTGTTATTCTCTTGCTTCTCTCTAACAACTGGCAAGCAAGGGATGATTTTATGACTAAAACCAAACAAACACAGCTCTTTGAGAAAAATTGGAAAACACAGAAAAGTTTTAAGTGGCCAAGTAAAAATAAATTACCCATCATCCTATAAACTGAAAGTAAATACAACGAGGGTACTTCACAAAGTTCATGGAAAAATAGAATTAAAAGATAATATGAATCTTTCCATGAACTTTGTGAAGTCCCCTCATACATTTTGACATACTTCTGTTTGAACATTATGGCATGATTATGATTTTTTGCCTCGATTTTCTATGAGTTTGAAGTTTAAAAAAAAGCTAACTGGCTTTTCTTTACCATTCTGCTTCAGTGTGACACTACCGAAAAGCCAAGTCCCACCCTTCTGCCTCAACTCCTCTCCCTATAGGTTGCAGGGAAAAGGCAGGCATGTAGAGTGTACCTTCTCCTCCTTATGCCAATGGGATGGCCTTCCCCTCTGAAACAAAGTAGAACTGTCATGCTGTGACTTCTTAAATGAAGGACACATGAAAAGGCTTTGAAAAATACAAAGGGCTTTCTTAGCAAATGGAAATATAATGCTTTGTTGAGCTGGTTTTTGCAATATGTACACTGTAGTCACTCAGTCTCACACAGTCTAGTTACAGGTAACCAACAAAGAAGTTACTGAGAATACATTATTCAAAGGCACAGATGCCTTTGAATGGAACAAAGGCTTTCACATCATTTAAACTAAAATATATATATATGAGTGAATTTATGGTTTAAGATTGGATACGTATTTACATTGAATTTCAAATAAAATTACTTTAAAACTTTTTTTTTTCTTTAAGGGCTGCAACACACACATGCATTTAAATATCCCTGTTTTTATTTTTTCTTTTTAATTTTTTTTTTTTTCCTTTTTGTATTTTTCCGTGTCCGGCAACGGATCGCAACCCTCAGTGTTGCCCCCGTACCGGACCGGGACCGGCAACGGGATCGCAGCCCTCGGTGTTGCTCCCGCACCTCGCTCAGCCAGTGAGCGGGAACCAGTCTGTATGTGGGATCCGAACCCTCGGGCGGGAGCGCCGCCGTGCTTCCCAAGCGGCGCACTATCCAGTGCGCCACCGGGCCGGCCAAATATCCCTGTTTTTAAAATACAGTTTTGTACAGAAGAAATCACTTGATATGTAAATTCCTTTGGTTCTCTATCTTACGCTGTTGAAGTCATAAGTTATCCCTTTCCCACCCCCGCTTGCACTTTCTGAAGAGAATATTCTCTTTTCAGATATGTAAAAGAGTATTTTGTAAGTAAAACTTAAAAATTATTTTTGGTTCACAAGAAAAACTTCTTGTAACTTGAGTGCCAGCATGACTGTCCCCTAAATATACCTACTAGACATGTGACAGGTGCTATGAGCTGAAAATGTAAGCACAAGTCAACAGATCCTCACTTTGAGGAGCACGATGATTCTTGAATATTTCATAAAACAAAGATAATAAAGATAGTGAAAGAATTATATATCAATGAAGTTACTTCAAAAAGTTCATGGAGTGGTGCCGGCCCAGTGGTGCACTGGAGAATGCGCCGCTTGGGAGCACGGCGGCACTCCCGCCGAGGGTTCGGATCCCATGTGGAGACCGGTTCCCGCTCACTGGCTGAGTGCGGTGCGGGCACAACACCAAGGGTTGCAATCCTGTTGCGGGTCAGTAAAAAAAGACAAAAAAGGAAAAAAAAAAAAAAAGTTCATGGAGGATTGGCCGGTTAGCTCAGTTGGTTAGAGCACGGTGCTGATAACACCAAGGTCCAGAGTTTAAAAAAAAAAAAAAAATCTATGGAAAGATTCGTATGATCATTTAATTCTATTTTTTCATGGACTTTTTGAAGTACTCTTGTATTTTACTTTTAACATTATTACCTTGTGTCATTCTATTATTTCTATTGTAATTTAAAAGAATATTTTAGTTTCAGAGAATAAAAATACTTCATGATTTTGACTATTTAAGGAAGTTTTTTTGCAGCTGGCTGGTGTGGGGTAAGAAGTATTTTATAAAGGTCATTAACCAAGCTGAGTGCATCCCATTTTCTCCCTGAGGAGTACTGTAAAAGTTTTCTTCAATAAAATAGTGACTAGCTAATTGGTAGGACTGTGGTTCTTCAGGACTTTTGTGAGCATAGATTGTGATGGCTGACCCAGATAAAGATCATCAGACAAGCTTACATATCTACTGCCATTTGACAACTGACATGTCCTGTTAGATTTCAGAATGAATTTCAAAGCATTGGGAATGCAGACGCTATGAATGGAGTCCAAAACAAAGTTAACCACACTATATCATGAGAAAATCTATAAACAAGGTCCTTCAAGCAACCCCACCCCCCCCAAAAATAAGAAAAGCTTTAAACCCTAAAATTAAAAAGACTAAAGGCAAATGTTTATTTGTTTTATAATTAACATTCTGAAGGCACATATATAAAATGTATGATTATTCAGAATTTAAACAACTTCTTGGTTCCATCGTTTTTTTTTTTTTTTTTTTTTTTTTTTTTTAATATTGCATTCCATCAGTCAATACTGAGAAGGATAGTTCAAAACATTTTTTTTGTTTGTTTGTTTTTTGGGGGGGGGTTTGTGGCTAGCCGGTACAGGGATTGACCCCTGGACCTTGGTGTTACCAGCACCACACTCCAACCAACTGAGCTATCCAGCCAGCTCGAAAACTATTTTTTAAGTTAGTAAGATAGGCTTAGGAGTCCAGCTAATAGTCAGGGCAGACTGGCCAACTATGCTAGAACTAGAACCAAAAGACAGTCACCTCTGTCCTCTGGGAATTGCTGCAGGATTCTGTGGAGTGAGTCCCATTACCCTGATTTTGGGATGAGGTGAGGGAGATGCATAACAACAGATAACCCTTTCTGTGTTAAAATGCCTGTTAAAGAACCAACACCTGGTACTAGCATGCATGATCTATGACAGGATGCATCACAGGGGCCCCCGTCACACTTGGTTGAAAGGGATTGAAGAATCCACAGGTTTAAGGAAAACCTTGCATTCACCCATACTACTGGGGTTTTTTTGCTGAAATTAGTCTTCTGGATGATAAGCTTAAACAACAAAAGAAAAAAGTTAAAATATGCCAAAGGTGAGAACATATTCAAAATTGCTTCTTTGGATTAAATTGTCATTTAGACGGTAGGGATATTTGGTTTGACTTTTAAATAGCATTATTAGTGCATGTTCCATTTTAAAATCGCACTGCAGTTAGAATTCTAGCAACTACCATGGCATTTATTAGTTGTCAAAAAGCTTCACAATTGGTTTCATGATCAGAAAATAAAGCAAGATTTCCGTATTGTTTTCTTTACAAAATTGTTGAATTTCTGAAAATATAAAGGATCATTTGCTTTTTTAAAATGTCATTGTTGCCACATGATGTTCCAGAGATCTGACCCCAAAAGCTTCTCAAGATTTACCATCCATAGTATCTTTATCTGTAACTGAGACCCATCTGTTATTTTCCATCTGAAGCTGGAAAGAGGTAAGACAATTAGTTTCTGCTTTACTCTGGAAAACAAAATTGCAAAATTAAGTAGTAACTTATTTTCTTTTGCATTTCCCTTCAATTAAAAAAAATGATGAGTTTAAGATAGAAAAACAACCTCACCTTTTTCAGCAGTCTATAACAAAGTGAGAGAAGTTGGACCAAGAGAGCCATCATTGATCTTGCCTTTGTAATACACTTGTCAACCTAGAGTGACAGAAAGCATGCAGATCATATTCTAATAGTGGTGTTTCAAAAAGCCTTATAATTTATTTAGTTTTAAACTGATAAAATTTCTCCATCATGGAGATCTAAGGGATCTTGAAAGGTGTATGAATAGATTAGGGCATATGAGCTGATGCGAGGACCCAGAACACAGGTGCAAGGGTTGCTGCCCAGGCCTCATGCCTGTTTCATGAAATCCCAGGAAGAATGGGTGACAAATAGACTGTTCTACTTAAGGCTGTTTAGGGGCACCTCAAAATGCTCCAAATAATGGCAGTGAATCCCCTGCTCTGAAATTCCTTGCACTCTGCTTTGTGGACATAAGCCCATATTTGCTCAAATTATGGGAGCTCAGACTCTGAGGCATTTGTGGCCTAGTTAGAGAGGTGACAACTTCAGGATTTAAGGGTAGCTGTCAGTGCTACAAAATTAATCATGTCCAAAAAGTCAATTTATTTAGTGAACATGCTGCTTAGTTATAACAGCATATAATAAATGATCCTTGCAGTCAAGTCATGAAAAATGGAAATAAATTGCCCTTCTGTGGGTAGTAACACTTTATTTGAAGAAAAAGGGGCTGGAGCTAACCTGATAAAGACAGAAGTGTAAAAGTTTCTCAGGAGTCTACCTTAATAACCCACCCTCCTCTCTTTTACCTTTAGAAACACTTTATTCTGTAAAGATGTTTTAGTTATTGTCTGGAGCTGGTGGCATAGAGGAATTAGCTTGTTTATTTCCAGGAGAAGCATAAGCTTGTCATCATCTTTCAGCTGAAATGTAATTTAGGAAGTTATAACAAACCTAACAAAACTCCATCTTTTATACCTTAAATACCTTTATACCTTAATGATATATCCCCAGATTGGATCTACATGACATCACCACCAGCACCAGGAAGGTAGACATTTGTTACCTGTTTTGAAAAAGCTTGTACACTTGAAGTAAGCTTTAAACCCTCTGCAGCAAAAACCTGGTGGAAAGGGAAAACATCACTATTTTAGATTGATGGCTTATGGACAGTTGGTAAGAAATATAATCATTAATAATTTTTATATAGAACTTTAAAAATAAAACCTAGATATAAAAAACCTGTCATGGAACTCTTAAAAATTTTTTTACCAGGAAAACACAAGGGTTTAACTGTATTCAGAAATAGTCTTCCCAGCCCTAATGCAGAATCAAATCCTAGAGAGGCTCCTCTACACCTGGAGACTTCCAATTATTCTGGAGGGTCACATGGACATGTGATAGCCCCACAAATTATGTCTGAGTTTCTGGAGGGATCCAGAGCTCATTTCATGAAATCCCCAAGTATAAAAGGGTGGTGAATCTTGGAGCATGAGGTCAAAATGGTTAGAACTTTCCTGCTACCATCTAACCAGGATAAAATTTGTCACCTATACACATTTCATAACCGACCATTTGAGAGGCCCAATTCAGACTGGGTTTTTTTTTTTTTGGTTTTTTTTCAGATTGGTTTTGACTATTTACCATGCACCATGCATTTTACAATTTAGTAAGGAAAACAGGATGATGGAGAAGAAGAGTGAAAGCTTGGACAGGTGAGATTGTAATATTTAGGATATTGTGTTAAAATGGTATGTAGAAGATTTTAGAGTGAGAGCTACCAGGTGAGTAAAGAGATGAAGACTTAGCATTAGGTTACAGCAGTAGCAATGAAGAGAACAGAACAAATCTGAGAGCGATTTGTGAAGAAAAAAATAACAGGTGTTGGTAATAAATTAGATAAAGAACATGAAGACAGAAGAGGCAATAATTCCAAGGTTAACTTCTACCCTCTGTTCAACAACCTTGACACCTTGCTATCATTGGATAAAGGGATCTCCACATCATATAGTCCTTTGCATCCTTTCCTGTCCTTTAAAAGGGAAACCAATGAGCTTCACATCTAGATTCTAATCAAACTGAATGATTCACTCCCTGTGTGATCCTCATCATTCCACATTACCACCTCCTATTCCATGTACCTTCTCTTTCTTTCTAACCTACAAAGCCCTTGGGGGCATGATCCATGTCTGTCTCAGTGCATCATGGTTTTAAAACCACC